TTGAGGCGAAGCCACAGAATGTCCTTCCGGTGTGATTCCAAAGAAAGATCCCTGGAGCAGGAAAGACTGCTGCGGACAAAAGCCACAACTCCCCCGTTCTTTCTCAGATTGGAGTGCACCTCGTAGTTTGGGAAGTTGAGATGGTTAATCGGTGCAGTCTCTGAGATTTTTGTCTCCGCCAAGAAAAGCACGGCGGGACGATTGGATTGCAGGTAGTGAGGAACAGCATCAATGTTGCTGCTGATCCCGCAGATGTTCGAAAAACAAATTTTATCTTCGATGTTGTTCCCTCGAGCCCACCCTCCACCCGGACATTCCGAGAGCGGAGTGAGTTTACGTCCGGCGAGTGAGTTTACGTCCGGGTTTGCAACGCTCCTGGATTTATCTCTGCCCCAAATTGTACAACGAAATGCCTGCTGATTATAAGTTAATACGAAATATTGCTTTATTCAAGAAAGAAATCTCAGTCTGGGTGAAAGGTATATCCAGGAGCATAATACATGATTATATAGAAGGCAAAACACTATATATGTCACTCTCACAACCCAAATGAAGTCACCGTTTTTAGAATAATTGCTCCATTCTATTAATTTATTATTTTATCATATTTTATTGTACGTTATTATATTTTATTAGATTTTATTATGTTTTATTGTAGTCACTTATATGCTTATACCGTATCTTATGTATGATGGGCACTTAATTTTATTCTATTCTATGCTTGATATATCCTTGTCCTTATTGCTCACAACACAAATGCAACTACCAGTTTTGTAATGTCATTTTAGTTTTTATTGTCCTTTATCTTAGATGTACTCTTTTTTAGTTTAGCCTTTTGGTTTATGTTATTTATTATTGAATTTAGTTAAAGTGCCACAATGTCAGTTCAAGGTTTTCGCATTTCTACCAGTGATCGTGTAACACCAAATTATGTCAGTGCGTGCGTAAGAAGTGCATAGTGCATTAGCAAGTACTTGATAGACTTTATTTATATCTGCGGATAGACAACTGACAATAATGGGATGGCCACACACAAGATTTTTCTTTCGTGGCATTACTTTTATTTGTCATTGATACTCCTTTGTGGCAACAGTCTTTGAAAATTTATATTTGCATAATTGAATTTGACAAATAAATTATTATTATTATTATTATTATTATTACCGTCTTCGAAGAAGTAAGGGCCAATGATGCAAGATTGCGATACAGCGCACCAAACCGTTACTTTTGGGCCGTGCAGAGGTATTTCGTGTAACTGTTGCGGATTTTCATTAGCCCAAAAACGACAATTCTGCTGGTTAACCATGCTGTTTAGGTGAAAGTGGGCTTCGTCACTCATAAACAAAATGAGGTTCTCATTTTGATCGATCAGTGCTTCCATCTCACGTGCGAAGTTCATTCGTTGTGCATAATCTCCGGGCTGTAACTGTTGCACAATGGCCAATTTGTAGGGGTGAAAGCGGAGATCCATATGCAAAATTCGCCTTACCGAACGATCACTAAGGCGAAGTGCAGCAGCATGTTTCCGGGCAGATCGAGTCGGACTGCGAAGAAAGACCTATCGAACGCGTTCAAAATTTTCAGGAGTCCGATCTGTTCGCGGCGCTCCTCTTGGTCTTCTGTTGATCAGTTCACCACGCCTGCGAAGTGATTCAACCCAACGAAGGATGGTGTTTCGGGAGGGAACAGCTCTATTTCGATGAATGTTGAAGTGGGGACGAACAATCATAGGCAAAAACGCGGTGCTCGACCGTCCAAGGCTCCATAACGACAACTGGTGAAATAATGCTAGGATCCCACGAGTCAAACGGCACCCTCTCGTAGACGGAGGCGGAGAGTACTAACCATCCCAAAAACGTCCGTCCTCTCTGCCGCACCCTGTATAATGTCTCATAATTATAATTGTCAATCCTGCAGCCAAAATTGACATATTTTTTAACTAGGTGTATGATAAACATGCTACTATTCGAGATAGAACTGACTCTAGTTGACTCTTTTACACTTTTTTTGAATTCGCTAATTACGTAAAAAATATCAACTACATATTGTTGTCGAAAAGCGTCAATTCACAAGTAATACAATGATCATAATCATAATTACTATACATACTTTCAACACCGTAGTCGATTTTACCTCATCTCAATCCAGCGATTACTTTAAAGCATGACACGTTTCAATTGTACACATTTATTGCTCTTTTGGCAAGGTTTTTCAAGTAGGTTTCCTCTTCCAACCGTAATATGATCATTATAACTATATTCACATTACCTCGGAATAAGAGCAATCATAATACCTATCCCCGTTCTCGTTTACGCCAATTAGGTTACTTATCCATCATAATAGGCACAACCTAATATTTATTTTGATTCTTTTACCATATTAACTGAATATATAATCAATATCAAAATGATATTTACAGCATTACAATGATATTTCCGGAAGAAGAAATTTTCTGGTTCCTCTACCTGTTCATTACCCTGCAACACTTCCTTCTATGTTTTGGCACAGGTAAATGTATTGTCATGGATCTGATACGCCCGTATTTGTGCACATAAGTACAATACAGTGTTTGTAGGTCGATGCTTTTTACCCATTTTTACCGTAAATCGTAAATATGGAGCATAACAACGTTTGTAAGTGGCTCGAAGCGTGCACGGCGCATCGCTTTGTAGTAGCGATGGTAGCTGGTGTCACGTGACGTCATCACTCAGTCTCACGCTCCAACGAGATATTTCTCCAAATAAAAAACTTCCAAGTAGCATAAATTTTTCATTGTTTTAAGATATTCCAAAATTTTTTTAGTTCGATACTTCACTTCACTTTCACCATCATTTTGTGTTTCAAAAAATACGAAACTTCCTCATTGTATTTAGGCTTTTCCTTTCTATCTGCTTATATGAAAACGTATAAATATAGTTACTCTCCAGTTTACTAAGCCAATGTAAAATGGAGAAGATAAACTGTGGAAGGGTAAGATATAGTACTAAAAACAACATTAACTAACTGCAATGTGTTCAGGTAACCATTATGAGCGTTTTGACAATTTGGTACCTATACCTTTGCACTTTCCCTGCTGAATAATACGTCCGAGTTTCAAACAAGCTACGAAGGCTTCAACGTAGAATTCTGTGCAAATGAATCAATAAAAATCATAAATAATCTCAGTAGAAATAAAGGCCATAGGATTTTTCGACGAAACAATCAGTAGCCCATCAATCCACCATCAATCTGAGTCGAATCTGCTGGTTGTCAAATATTATAATACAATAAAATAGTTTATTTTTAATAACGTAGGTCAACATTTGATAGAAGGGTTGTCACTTCAGATCGCTTAACTTAATGCTGGGGTCAATTCAGATGTATAATGTATTTTGCAGTTTCTTTGGGAGCTATAATCTGGGGTTTATTTTGCCAAGGGAACTCATCTATTTTGACCTTGAAGTGACCTTGTTTTGATCTTGAAGATCATATGGGTTGAGTAAACGCTAGATTTGAGTTTAACAACTCCAAAAGCAGACATGTGGATGATCTCAAATAAATTCAGATTTTTACACATGTTGACCTTGAAATAACCTTGGTTTGATGCCATATTGAGATTTAGCGACCTCGAAGACGTACGTGTGGAGGTTTTCATATGGATTTAGGTAGCAACCATGATATGACCTTTAAACAACTCCTAGATGACGTTGCATGGTAAAACAAACGCCAGGTTTAGATTCAGAAACCCCAAAAAAACCTAAATGTAGAGAAGTTCAAATATTTCTACGAAGTTGGACTTTGAAAAAACCTCAACAGGATCTTGAGGATGGATGACTTCGCCAGATGTGGATTCAGTGACACAAAAAACTACACACATATTCTGACCTGTGCACTATTCTTGATTTTAATAGAAAATCACACTCCCTCTATTTTTCTACTCCCCCGGTCTTCCAATCGATTCGAAATTATTGTATTCTTGAAAGGACTCGATAGAGAGGAGGAAGGAAATCAAGACATGGAGTTTGGTCAAGATTTCCTACTTATAATATTATCTATGGAGCCAAAAACTTAAAAAAACACATTACAAATAAGGACAAAATGATTGAATTTCTCCGAGAGCACTTCCAAATGCACCAATCATAGATTAAAGGATACAGTTTTAGAATGACCAAGACTTGATATCTACTCTTGCCTCCGTTGTGATCGAAAGTGCAGAAGCTCGTGGGGGTGGTTGTATGAATGGAGTTAATATCTCCGGCAATTCATACACCAAATATTTTGCCAACCTAAGCATCAGTACAAATTTTCGAACCGAAGGATCTCGATGCCCAAGAATATCTCTCCCAAGCTCCCATTCCTTAACTGCCTCCTCTATATCGTCGTTAATAATATCGTTCCAATACATCAATTGATTGAAATTATACATTTTCTGGAATATGTATAGCAGAAACGACAATAACAATGCCAGACACGTCAATTTTTAGATTATATACGCTATTTTCTATTATTTTTTCCAGTTTCTCTTGGTCGGTACCAAGAGTTAAATCGCGACTCTCTAAAGTCATTTCTATCACTTTTTGGTAGAATTGATTTCAAGAATACTGTATTTCTTTTCTCACTTTTTGACATTTTCTCTTGGAAAGCAACTCTACACCAGTTTAGTTTACAGAAAGCTTGAAATCTTTGTCATGGTGTTAGAGCAAATTTTGAAAACATCTATTTATGTATAGCTTTCCAATGTTTATAGCGTTTAGTAAACGTAAGTTTTTCTTGAGCACCCAATATTTTTCTCTGGAGTTATTTATTTCCCTTTACATCAATTTTCTAAAAATTAAAATTAGTAATAATCATAATTTCTATGGTATGTTTGTAACAGTTCAGTGATGTGTCAGTTTTGGATCGTTCCCAAATACATGATTTTATGCAGTACGTTGATTGTAGTCAAGGTAGCCTCCTTTTTTCATTTCCTCATCTCCATATCAACCTAATCGGTTGACGCTCGGCGCGGGGCGGCGATTAACCGCCCACGAAATCCGCTTTTCTGAAAATTTAGTATCAGCGGTAGCGAACTCCATCCAGCAACTGCCGGGTGGGGGCTCACGGCTCAGCTTGCCGTAATCGTCCAAATTAAAAAGCGGCTCCATTTTTATCTGCTCTTCTACTCGCCGCCAGATAAAAATAATAAAGCGGTCTCTTATGATATTAAAACGGCCCGTTCCCCGGCGATTATTCCGAAATAATCGCTTATGAAAACATCACAAGCGGTACGAGCATCAGAAGCGGGATAGCCGTTGGCGGTTTTGCACGTTTGCGCCACTACTTTAGTGAGTATGTAACTTGCATTTATTTTCATGGCGCACTTATCGTACTTATGATCATCTCGCTTACTGTCCCAGCATAACAGACGGTTGGGAAGTGATGTGCCTAAGTCGAAATAAATTAGGTCGAAGTTATCATATTGTTATCTCTATATACCAATTCTTTACAGAGGTACTTGGTACACTTTTTTTTAGGCCTGGTCGTTTGCTATACAAATTTGGGGGTTTTATGATGGTTATGAACTTATCGTACTTGTTTCTGCGCTGAAATAAAGATGAATTATGCTGGGGAATAGTCATTGTGCTTCTATGTATCATGGTTCTACTATGCGCACTACCTCTAGGAATGAACTTTTCTCTAAGATAAATAGCTTCAGATGTAAGCATTAATTTGTGCATGAAAATAAGATAACTGAACTTCACTAAATGGGACATTTTCAAACACCACAAAGAAGTAAACTTATTTGCGATATGATCAAATCGTCTGAGACCAAAGATAAATCCTACGCAATTGTTCTGAACAACCTGCAGTTTGTTCTATGCTATGCCATCGAGGCAAGGATAAAATAAAAGTTCGTTACATTATTATTTAGAGGGTCTTATGAAGGCAAATTCGCTCATATTTAAACTGTCAAAACATGGGTCGAAGAACTGCATGCTTATAGTTCTGCTGTCTCTGGAATATGTGGTACGAATATGGTATATACTTCCTAACTGACGGAATACTTAGGTGTTATAACTACTTGCGGTAGGTTTGGTTTCAACAGAAGATCATTCTGTTCGGATTGTCGGAGTCTTAAAGGGGAGTTGAATTGACACGAAGAAATCTGTACACTTGCTTGCAGCTGCTGGGAAAAGGCTGGGTTATCTGCTTGAATACCTTCAGCTGTTCAACCTTCCCACTGTCTACAAGTCTCAGATGAGACCTGGTACACTGTTCACCAGTCTGGGGTGATGCTGATTCTATTACGCTGTTTATATTTGGTTGGTTGAATAGTGGATGACACTTTCTTAGTAGACAGTCTGGAGCCTCTCTAACATCGATGGGTAGTAGTTATCGCCGGACGCAAGGTGCGTAGTGAAGGTAACTGAATTGATCGCCACGCAGTGTTGCCAGACGAATTCTGCTAAAAATCCCTAACATTCTATTTTTTCTCCCCTAGAATTCCCTAGATTTTTATTTTCTAAGTCTACCCTATTTTTTCTGTCTACTCGCCACCCCCAATTTTTTCTGTATTACATATTGAATTCATAATATGGTTTAAAAAAAATATATTAAAAATTACATTTAAAAATAAAACTTTATTAGATTAAAAAACGGATTTTTTTTAATTATCTAACTTAAAATAATACATTACTTGCCATCAATCTTTTGAGTACAATTTTTTTTGGCTCATTAGTTTAAGATGCTCACTAGTTACTTTAAATGACTGGCAGCAATTATCAGACGAAAATCTTGTAACACATACGGCATTCACTTCCTATTTTGTTTCTTTTTTTTGTTTTCGTGGAGGGTTGATCCCTACGATTTTAAAAATATATCAGCTATTGATTACTTATAATATATTATGCAACTTACATTTGATCAGAATTTTCTGCTGTATCGGACTCCATCATCACAAAATAAACTTAAAAACTTTGAGCAAAGATTCTTTTTTAATTTGACCGTCCTAATATTCACATTAAACGCACTCAAAAACGTCGCGTCACACTTTAATATTGAACTGAGTATGCGTAATACAGTCGTCGGTGGCGGCAGGTGGCGGAGAACTTATCGGTGATTCACGATTCACACAGAAGATGTACAGTGTAACCAACCTTGTAATTAGCAAAGCTGTATACTGTTTTATTTAACAATTATGTTAACAGGGTCCGTTTATGTTTTTGCAATATAGATTGGAATTTAATTATTCATTAATCTTTTTTTTGAAACGGTAAAAAATCCCTAGAATTTCCCTATTTCCCTAAAAGTCCCTAGAACCAGAAAACATCGTAAATTCTCCCTAGAACTATGGAGAATTCCCTAGAAATGGCACCACTGTCGCCACGCACGTGGTGGACAAAAAGAAAGATATCATCGAACAGATCATATATAGGTAATAGACATGGTGAAATTTATGTCATGCTGAGGACTGGCGAAATATTTGCATCTTTGCATAATTGATATTCGTAAGCAGAAATATTTTTGTTCGACATCCGCTAGATGGCGCAATTACCACACCCCACGAATTCGTGTTCTCCTTTATGTTGTCGTCGCTTTCTAGACTTCTGCTTCTCACTCTAATTTCTAACTGCTGGAAGAGACTTTCTCCAAATTATTAACCATGAGCGTTTTAGAAACCGCCTAAATAAACTATCTCTAGTTTAGTCGTAAACCTCATCAAGCTTGCCTATTACAGAAATTGGGACTGCTATTGTAATAGTTTCAAATTCCTGTGCAAAACTTTATGGGCTTAGATCAAAAAATTGTTGATATTTTTTCCTTTTGCATATTATTTTATAGTCATAAGATTAATACTAAATCGATAGTGATATCAGCGGAACCGAGACGATGTAAACTGGCCGTAAATAACAAAATAATAGAACAAGCGATGGAAACGGAATACTTGGGAATCAAACTGTCAAGCTATGGAAAAGTGGAAGAAGAAGTACTAAAACACGTGAACATGGCAAACAGAGCAGCAGGATGTCTCAACAATACAATCTGGAGAAACAAATACCTCACAACGGAAACGAAAACTAGGATATATAAATCAAAAATAAGACCGATAATGACGTACACGGTGGAAACAAGAGCAGATATGGCGAAAACACAACGATTATTGCAATCAGCAGAAATGAAAGTCTTACGAAAAATAACAAACCAAAGGAAATAAACCTGTGGACCAAAAGAAGAAAAATAGAATGGAATCAACACATAGAAAGAATGACAGAAAATAGGACAGCACGAAAAGCAAGAGACAAATCGCCAAATGGAAGAAGATCAATGGGACGACCGAGGAAAAGATGGTCAGATAACATCAATTGAGGCTAAAAACGGAAGTAAAACAGGCAGGAGCCTATTAATAAAGTAGGAAGAAGGAGAAGAAGAAGAAGAAGAAGCAGCAGAAGAAGAAGATTAGTACTTCCAAGTCCAAGTACATAATAACTCCGCTGATTCGGGTTGTGTTGGTATCAAAAAGTTAGCTAGGAACACATATAACAAGAAAAACTTAATCGATCAAGTTAGTCAAACATGCCCTTACGATTAGTCGGTAGTTCCCACTCATTTGGCAACGTCGCTATCTATCTTCCGTAGCGCAAGACTGCACCAACCAACTGACAACGTTGCTATGACTAACCAGCCTGCTATCGGTCAGGTCCCGATGCAGGAACAGATAGAACGTTTGTTGCATTACGTGCGACGCGTGTGTTGATAATATTTCTCTATCATACTGCTTTGAGGGTAAATCTAAGATGTTTGAAATAAGCGTAATAGATGCATAGGATTGTCTGGGTTGGACGCGGATAGATTATATACTAATTCCAAAAAAACTGGTATATACACACAACCCCAATTTTTAGGTCATCCAAAAGTTTTTTTGAAAACGATCAGGAGTCTTTGAAACGTCTAAAAACGAAGTTTGGGCAATTTTGGATATGAAAATTTACAAAGCCTTCTCATTCTTTGCGTAGCGGTAGCGTTGTGTCAAGACTTCATCAATATCCGACCACTATTTTCCAAGTTATAGTGGTGCCAGGGATTAGCGGACAGACTGCTGTTTGATAACTCCAATCCTATTGGCGTGAGATCGTGAGAAATGTAACATGGAGACACATATGTGCATTTTATAAGAAAAAGAGACCAGTTTAGATAATGAAAAAGATGTCAAAACATGGAAGTAGACCGAACTATCGAAACCCATAAGGTTTCCAGGCTTCCAAAAAAATCTTCATTCTGAGAATGGGACAAGCGTCGTACAGAGGCACATAAGCATACAAAAAGAGTGCTCGTAAAAGTCAAACATTTGTTCGAATACAGATGTAATAAAATGAATTATTCAACTGTAATAGATATTCAAATAGCTTTTTTGTTAGAGTTTTCATCAGATATCGGCTTGCCTTCACTTTAACGTCAACGACTGTCCAACTCTCCTGTCGAATTGGTAGGTGTTTGATAGAATAGCCCACCAAATATGGAGAAAAACATTTGTTGATATGAATGAATGACCATCTGTCTGACCTCTTGGTCATTAATACTTTCATAATAAACTATCTCAATCCCTTGATGTTATACAATTTATCTAATTTATATCTCTAGTTCTTCTCCCGTATTCGATGAGCTAATTCCTTGAAATGAAGTTTGAATTTTTAATTAGCCGTAACGAAATCAATCAATTTCATCCTTGATAGTTACTCATTTGGCTCTCCGAGTAACTCAACTAAACAAATCAGTCTTTTCTTTCCTGAAGTAAACTTTTTATCTTGAGAGTTAATAAAAGGATTATCATCAACTCTCGATAATGATCGATTATATTTTATTATAATTGTTATAATATATTTAATATAATAATATTATTAAGTATAATTAATTTTTTCATTTCATAGCCATTGTATTCCAACCCAATGAACCCCAACCGATTGTTAGACTTTTACTTGAGCATCTCCAGTCTGCCACTCTTGAGAATGAAGTATCTAGAATAGTACTAAAAGTGATAGCATATCTTCTGAAGGTTCTTCTGATAAGTTTTTCATTCATTAAGTATATAACTAAGTGTAAAATTAACTAAGAAAGTAATTAACCTTAGTGCGCGCCGAACTTAAGAACCCTTCTCTGCGTAAGATAG